TCCTCAGATGTAGTCTTTCCCACCCCCATCATTGCAGTCTCCAGCTTCTGTAGAACCACCGCCAGCCTGCACCCCTCAATCTGCCTCTCCTTTTCTGATACCTATGCCCACCCATGGCTATTCTGTCCCTCACAGCACACAACCACATATGGTGAATGCGCTTCTCCTTGGGAAATGGCCAGAGAGCAGGGAGATTCTTCAAGTTGTACAAGCAGATACAGGCACTGAGACATACTCAGGCACACTTCATATATTTGTATTCTCTAAGGTCCTTTGCCATTTACAAACCTGCATGCAATTTCAAAGTATATTACAGTTTACAAGGCACTCCTCATTTTCCGAAGCTTTCCAAAAACATTTATAGTAGCAGTGTGACAAGCAGACCATGCTCTAGGAAATATCTGCTCTCTGGGGTGTAAGGACTTATTTTAAAGTTTGCAATGTTTTTTGACATTTATACACCTCCATGAGGATTACTTTATTGTTTCTTTAATGTTCACAAACCAATGTTTGGGTTTTCAAAGTATTTCAACAATCATAAATCATTTTATGGGCAAAGGGGTCAAAGGACTGGCTTGGGTTTTGTCTTCCTGATATTTGAGCACTAATGGATGTACTCTGCTTTACCCCTACAGGGCAAAATACTTCAAAGGGAAAAAGATCCATGGAGAAATTGACATTAAAGTAGAACAGGTTAGTTGGAGCAGGTGGATCTGGGAATCAACTGTCCAGATTGCAGACTGAGTGGTCATTTTTGTGTGATATGAGTGAATTGCTGATTTTTTTTTCCTTTCCAGGCGGAATTCTCAGATCTCAATCTTGTGGCTCATGCCAATGGTGGATTCTCTGTGGACATGGAAGTTCTTCGGAATGGGGTGAAGGTTGTACGGTGAGTATTAAAAGGGTAACTTAGAGTTATGGGAGAGACATAAGGACTCCCTTAGATCTGAGGGAGAATCTCCACTTCTGCACCTATCCTTCTGTGGGCAAGGACTTAGGCCCATAATAATAGCCAAGCTATGGAAGCAACCTAAGTGTCCATCGATGGGCAAATGGATAAAAAGATGTGATATGTATGTATGTATACATACATATATGTACACACATACACACACATGTGTGTATGGTCTGTCCAGGAGGTATCCAGCCATGTAGTATGAAAAATAGAGACATTTATTGAAGAAGATATAAGATAACAAGAAACATTGTACATAGGACAGTGACACCTCAGTCCCCTTCAAAGTAGGCACCTTGGGACCTCACACAGTTCTCCCAATTGCTGTCAGCTGCCCCATGATATTTTCCTGAATCTCATCAACAGTCTGAAATCTCTTCCCTTTCAAAGGTGATTTTAGTTTTGTGAAAAGCTAGAAGTTGCAGGGTGCCAAATCTTGGCTGTGGGGGGCTGAGTCACCTGGGTGATTTGATGTTTCACCAAAAAACTCTTCATGAGACATGATGCACGAGCAGGTGCATTGTTGTGATGAAGCTTCCAATCACCAGTTGCCCATCGCTGTGGCCTTCTCAATCATCTTAGTATTTTCTGTGGAGGAATCAAATTTGAGGCAGATTCGTTGCTCTGCTTGCTCAATCATTTTGAATATGACGACCACACAGTACACATACTCATTCAACACTGTCTACCACCCCCACTGACTAGTACAGCGAAGCTGTCATTGTTCATGCATGTGCATTCCAGTCCACTCTCCTTGGCTGCCAGGTTACATTGATGTCACGGGAACCATTCTTATTATATTAATAATGGTTAGACTTTTTCTGGACAAACACACACACACACACACACACACACACACACACACACACACTGGAATATTATTCATCCATGAGAGAGAAGGAAATCCTGCCATTTGTGACAACATGGATGAAACTTGAAGACATTATGCTAAGTGAGATAAATCAGACATAAAAAGACAAGTACTGTACAATATCTCTTATATGTGGAATTAAAAAAAGCCAAACTCATAAAAACAGAGAGTAAAATGGTGATTACCAGGGGCTTGTGGCTGGAAGAATAGGAGAGATGTTGTTTAAGGGTATTAACTTCTAACTGGTAGATAAATACATCCTGGAGGTCCAAAGTACAGTATAGTGAATATAGACAACAGTGCTGTATCATAATCATCAAACATGCTAAGAGACTAGATCTCAACTATTCTGCCACAAAAATGAAATAATTATGTGACAATAGACATGCTAACTAATACTACAATGGCAATCATATTATGATATATAAATGTATCAAATCAACATATCAGTTGTACACCTTAAATTTACACAATGTTATCTGTCAAATATATTTCAATTTTTAAAAACTTAGGCACAGAATGTAAGAGATAGCTTCTATTCTGAAGAAGAGTCAAGGGTCCCAGCAGACCACAAAGCGAACTTTTCTGTTAATAATTCAACAAATATTTCCTGAGCATCTACTGTATACCAGATGCTGCTTCACATTTTGCCTTCAACAAACATTTATTGAGCACCTATTGTATGCCAGGCCCTGTTCTATGTGCTGAGGACTTGGCAGTGATCAAAACAGACCGCCCAAAAGACAAAAAAACACCACAAAATCCCTCTGCCTTCATGAAACTTACTTTCTACTGGGGATACACACAATAAACAAATTATAAAATGTAAAAGTGCTAAGAAAAAATATATAGCAGCAAAGGGATTGTTGGCTGGTGGAGGGATCTGCAATTTGGATAAGGTAGATTAGTGTTAGAGACATTTGAGGAAAGACCTGAAGGAGGTGAAGGAAAGCTGCATGCAGAGGTCTAGGGGGAAAATATTTCAGGGAGAGGAAACAGCCCATGTAAAGACCCTGAGGTTGGAAATCATTCTGGGCAGCATCCTTTGAGGACTGCTAGTAGTCTGAGAGGTTGTGACTAGGGAACTGTCAGAGCTGAGTAGGTAAGCTGGAAGCTAATCTTGGTGAGGACAGGAGCAGGTAGGAAAAGCTTAAGGGGGTCACCAGATGGGGAAAGATTAGAAAGTGTGCTTCTGGGGGAAGGAACAACTTGTGCATGTGTGTTCAGGTGAGAAACCACTTCACAATTTCTAGGTGATGTGGATATATGGAATTTTGCTTTTTGTTCTAAGGGTGGTGGGAAGATTCTGGGGGAATCCTCAACACTCCTACCCTTGCACTCCAGGTCTCTGAAGCCAGACTTTGTGCTGATTCGTCAGCATGCCTTCAGCATGGCCCGGAATGGAGACTACCGCAGTTTGGTCATTGGGCTGCAGTATGCTGGAATCCCCAGCGTTAATTCTTTGCATTCTGTCTACAACTTCTGTGACAAGCCCTGGGTGGTAAGTGACAAGAAAGGTATTATTTGGAATATCTCATGCATGCATATGGGAGCTCAAAATCACTGTGACTTTTGGGAACTGAGGAAGTTTGGAAGCTTGAACTCCCAGATTGGAGACTCCCTCAGGTGAAGGACTTGCTGACCTGTCTCTCCTGGCTCTCATAGTTTGCCCAGATGGTTCGACTGCACAAGAAACTGGGGACAGAGGAGTTCCCGCTAATCGATCAGACCTTCTACCCCAATCACAAAGAGATGGTGAGTCTGGGGGAAATAAAGTGGGCAGGAGGGAAAAGCATCATGCCTACTGCAATAGTGTTACCAATGGATGTGTTACCAATGGATGTGTTACCAATGGTACACTATCAGAGAGTACAAGAGGCATGTGCTTGTGAAGAGGGAAGTTGCTTTGGGATGAGTCTATTAATACCATGAATTTACTTACGTAGTTAGAAGTGTGATTTAAATCATTGATCCTGTTACATATAGTATCTACTCTCATGAGTACTAAAAATAGATTTCTAATGTAAATTAACAGAACTAATATAATGAATCTGATTGTATTACATAGAGAAATTAAGTTATTGTTACTAACATTATCAAATATTCCTCTCGATAGAAATGTTACCAATGTTTCAAATTAGGATTGGCAATAAAACTGATCAGTAACAATGTTATAAATTAAATTGCTTACAAATAGCAATTGAATTGTTGGTTACTATTATCAGAAAATATAATCACTAATATTACAATTTATCACCAATACTGCAAATTATTTTTACTGATATAAATTATCAATAGTAATGTTATGAATTATAGTTCCTAGGAGATTTTGAATAATTATAACTAGTATCATAAAAATATTATAACTATTATTATAATTATGAATATTACAAATTATGCTCTAATATAAATTTTAAGTCCCTGTTTTGATTACATACTTAATAATAGAAATTATGTTATCATTACTAATATCATCAAATATTATAACTAACATTACAATTTATCACCAGTATTACAAATTAAGATTATCAATATAAGCAGTTAGCACTTATATTGTGAATCAAGTTATAATTACTAAAATAAATTAAACTATTAGTAAAACATTGTAAAATATTGTTACAGATTATTGTCAATGTTACAAATTAAGATTTCTAATATACACTGTGAGTAACTGTTTTTAATTAAATTATAGTTTATAATAGAAATCATTAATATGGTTAACATTCCAATTGTTATTATAAATAATTACTAATACTAAATTTATGATTACTAATATAAATTATGAGTACCACAGTTATGAATCAAACTTTAGTTACAAATAAAAATTGTTCACCATTACTGATGCTGTCAAACATTAAAACTGATTTTTAAAAAATTTAACAATATTACAAATTATGTTTACTTATATAAAAATCATCACTAGTTTTATTAATTAAATTATAATTAAATATCAATATTGACCCAACATTACCAACTTGGTTAAATAACATTGATACTATTATTAAAAATTCTTACCAGTATTACAAATTATGGTCACTGATATAAATTCACAGTATTATAAATTAAGTTTATTTACAGATGAAGATCAAATCATTAGTTCTGAGGGAACTCAATTTGTTTATCGTTATAATGATAATTCCATATTCTTTAAAAAACAGTATAGCTGACTGTGATTAAGAATGGCCTTTTGGCTAAGATCAAGCGTAGAGATATGCTCTTATCAGTTTAACATTTATGTCCTCTCTCCAAGACAACATATTAAATGGATTTTTGAAGCAGGGAGATGGACTAGGAGCTCACTCCATCTGTGCTGCTCATGGACCCAGTATTGCAGTACTTCTGGGAATGGTGCACCCCTCGAGGACAAAAAAGAAAAAAAAAATAACGTGGATTCTGTAACTAGAATTTCTGTGTGGGAAACCGAGATCCACAACTAATTAGCTTACTAACATAGGAAGCATCATTTAAATGCTTTGTGTCTCAGTTAACTCATCTGCAAAATGTGGGTAATAATAGTCCTGCATCAGAGTTGATGTGAGAATTAAATTATTTAATGAATGAAAATGAATAGGACACTGCATCTGTCATATATTAACTGCTACCTCAGTGTTGACAAAGTTCCCTTTTGTTCCTAGTTTGTTGAATGTCTTTTATCATAAAGGGACATTGAACTTTGTTAAATGTTTTTTCTGTGTTTATTGATATGATCATGAGGGTTTTGTCCTTTATTCTATGAATATGATGTTTACATTCATTGATTTTCATCCAAGATGAGTCACACTTGTATTCCTGGGCCAAATCACTTGATCTGATACATGATCTTTTTTTAAATATGTATTTTATTAATTATGCTATTACAGTTGCCCCAATTTTCCCCCTGTGCCCCCCTCTGCCCAGCACCCCCATTCTCTCCAGTAATCCCCTCCCTTAGTTCATGTCCATGGGTCATGCATATAAGTTCTTTGGCTTCCCCATTTCCTATACTGTTCTTAACATCCTCCTGTCTATTTTGTACCTAACAATTTTGTACTTCTTAATCCCTGCACCTTTTCCACCATTCTCCCCCATTTTCTTCCTTCTCCTTCCCAGCTGATAGCCCTCCAAATGGCCTCTATGTCTATGATTCTGTTCCTGTTCTGCTTGTATGTTTAGTTTGTTTTTTAGATTCAGTTGTTGATCATTGTGAATTTGTTGCCATTTTAATGTTCATAGTTTTGATCTTTTTTCTTATATAATTCTCTTTAACATTTTTAAAATAATGACTTGGTGATGATGAACTCCTTTAGCTTTACTTTGTCTGGGAAGTACTTTATCTGCCCTTCCATTCTATTTTTTTAAGATTTTAAAAATTTATTTTATTTTTAGAGAGAGAGGAAGGGAGGGAGAAAGAGAGGGAGAGAAACATCAATGTGTGGTTGCCTCTCACACGCCCCCTGCTGGGGACCTGGCCAGCAACCCAGGCTTGTGCCCTGACTATAACCATCAATCCTTTGGTTCACAGGCTGACACTCAATCCATTGAGCCTCTCCAGCCAGGGCTGCTCTTCAATTCTAAATGAAATTTTTGCTGAATAGAGTAATCTAGGTTGTAGGCCCTTGCTTTTCGTCACTTTGAATACTTCTTGCCGGTCCCTTCTAGCCTGCAAAGTTTGTTTTGAGAAATCAGCTGACAGTTGTACGGGAAATCTTTTATAGGTAACTCTCTGCTTTTCTCTTGCTGCTTTTACGATTCTCTATCTTTAACCTTTGACATTTTAATTATGATGTGTCTTGGTGTGGTCCTTTTTGGGTCTAACTTGATTGGGATTCTCTGTGTTTTCAAGACTTGTATGTCTATTTCCTTCTCCAAATTAGGGAAGTTTTCTTTCATTATTTTTTCATGTAAGTTTTCAATTTCTTGCTCTTTCTCTTCTCTTTCTGGTGTCCCTATGATTCAGATGTTGGCACATTTGGAGATGTCCCAGAGGCCTCTTATTCTATCCTCTTTTTTTTCTTTAGTTCTTTTTCTTGCTGTTCTGATTGAATGTTTTTTTTTCTTCCTTATGTTCCAAATCGTTGATTTTGTTATCAGCTTCATCCCCTCCACTGTTGGTTCCCTGTAGATTTTTCTTTTTTTCACTTAATGCAACCTTCATTTCTGCCTGAGTCTTTTTTTATGCTGTTGCAGTACCCAGTGTGTTCTTTGAGCATCCTGATAACCAGTACTTTGAACTTTGCATCTGATAGGTTGCTTATCTCCATTTCATTTAGTTCTTTTCCTGGAGTTTTGTTCTGTTTTTTCATTTGGGCCATATTTCTTTGTCTCCTCAATTTGGCAACCTTCCTGTATTTGTTTCTGTGTATTAGATAGAGCTGCTTTGACTCCCTGTCTTAATAGCATGGCCTATTGTAGAAAAGGCTCCTGTAAGTTGTGTGGGGCAGAGCTTTAGGTAATCACTTGGGCGGGGCAACCCATTTCACCACTTTGTGGCTCTGTGTGGAGGAGGGCTCAAAGAGGGGACAATGCTGCTGCCTAGCCTCTGGAGATTGCCTGGGAGAAAGCTGTCTCTTGACACCCACCCTGTTGCCAGTCACTTCACATTCTCCCTTTCTCCTTATATGCCACTTGTGCCCTTCCAGCTGTTGCCCTAGTGCTGAATCCCAGAGGGGGTGGGTCTGCGTGAGTCCTAAATCCATTGCAGACCCTTTAAGAGGAGTCTCTTGAGAATCCTGCAGTTTCTTCCACTGCCCCAACTCCCACTAGTTTTTACAGCCAGAACTTATGGTGACTTATCTTCCAAGTGCTGGAACCCTGGGTTAGGCGGTCTGGTCTGGGACTGGGATTGTTCGCACCTGAGGTATCCCTCCTGATTTTTATCCACCACACATTAATGTGGGACCACCTGTTCTTCCACCTCTCTACACCATTCTGTGTCTCTGCTCCTCCTACCTGTCTGGATGAATGTGGCTTCTTTGAATCCTTGGTTGTTGGACTTCCATGTATCTCAATTTTCTGATGAATCTGGGCGATATTTGTTTTGTTGTCTAGATATAATTTTTGTTATATTGTACATGGAGGTAAAGCTTATTTACATATGCCTCCATCTTGACTGGAAGTCCTGACATGTTGTGGGATTCAGTTTATTAGTATTTTGTTAAGAATTATGGTATCTATAATCATAAAGGATATTGGTCTGTAGTTTTTTATGTTGTCTTTCTCTGGTTTTGGTATAAAAGTAATAGTAGCCTCATAGAATGAGAAGGGCAGTTTTCCTTTTCTTCTATTTTTGGGAAGAGTTTGTAAGATTGGTTTTAATTCTCTTTAAATATTTTAGAATTTACCAGTATGGTCCTAGGCCTTTCTTTGTAGGAAGTCTTTTTAACATTATTATACTAATTCAATGTCTTTACTTATGTCTTTTCAGATTTTTCTATTTCTTCTTGAGTCAATCTTAGTAGTTTGTGTCTTTCTAGGAATTTGTCCAACTAGGTTTTCTAATTAGTTGGCATGCAGGTGTTTGTAGTACTGTCTTATAATCTTTTTTTATTTCTGAGAGATTAGTACTTATGTCCCCTCTTTCATTTGTGATTTTAGTAATGAATTTTCTTTTCTTTTTTCAGTCTAAAGTTTCGTCAGTTTTTTTGGTCTTTTCAAAGAGCCAACTTCTGGTTTCATTGATTTTCTCTATTGTTTTTCTGTTCTCTTCTTTCATTTATTCCCACACTAATCTTTTTTTAAAGATTGTATTTATTTATTTTAAGAGAGAAGAAAATGGAGGGAGAAAGAGAGGGAGAGAAATATCACTGTGCAAGGGAAACATTGATCAATTGATTCTCACATACCCACAGCCAGGGACCTGGCCCACAACCCAGGCATGTGTCCTTACTGGGAATCCAATCGATGATCTTTCAGTTTGCAGGACAGTGCTCAACCCAGTGAGCCACAGAAGCCAAGGGATCATGCAAATCTTTATACTTCTTTCCTCCTGCTAGCTCTAGGCTTAGTTTGCTTTTATTTTCCTAATATCTTAAGATGGAAGATTAGGTTATTGATTTGGTATTTCTATTTTTTTCCTTCATAGTATTTTTATTGATGTATTGGGCTGACATTGATTAATAAAATTATATAGATTTAAGGTGTACAATTCTACAATACGTCACCTGTACATTGTATTGTGTGTTCATCACCCTAAGTCAAGCCCCCTTCCATTGCCATTTATTCTCCCAATACCTTCTTCTATCTCCCCACACCCCTATTTCCATCTGGTAATCACAATACTGTTCATACTGTTGTCTGCCTATGAGGTTGTTTTTTTTTTAACTTGATCCCTTCACCTTTTTTCACCCAGCCCCCACAAACTCCCTCCCCTCTGACATCTGTTGATATCTCTCTTCTTTTTTTTAAAGATTTTTTAAATTTATTTTCAGAGGGAGGGGAAGGGAGGGAGAAAGAGAGTGAGAGAAACATCAATGTGTGGCTGCCCCCCACGCGCCCCTCACTGGGGGCTCAGTCCACAACCCAGGTATGTACCTAGCCAGGAGCGAACCTGCGACCCTTTGGTTTGCAGGCTAGCACTCAATCCATTGAGCCACACCAGCCAGGATGATATTTCTCTTCTTTTTAAATATTCACATTTATAACTATGGAATTCCCTATTGGCACCACTTTAGCTGCATCCCTTAATTTTTGGTATGTTGGGTTTTCTTTTTCACTCATTTCAAAGTATCTCCTAATTTCCTTAGTGATTTCTTCTTTGACCCATTGATTATTAGGAGCATGTTGTTTATTTCCCACATATTTGTGAATTTTCCAAATTTCCTTCTGTTATTGGTTTCTACTTTCATTCAACTGTGGTCAGAGAAAATTTGTATGATTTTAGTCCTTTTACATTTATTAAAATTTGTTTTGTGGCTTAACATATAGTTGGTCCTGGAGACTGTTCTATGTACACTTGAGAAGACTGTATATTCTGCTGTTTTAGGATGCAGTGTGCTATAAATGTCTGTTATGTCTAGTTGCTTTGCAGTGTTGTTCCAGTTTTCTCTTTCCTTATTGATCTCTACCTGGTTATTTTATGCCTTATCTAAAGTGAGGTATTGAAATCTTCAACCATTATTGTTGACTTTTTTAGTTGTCCCTTCAGTTCTGTCTGTTACTTAATTTTTATTCACCCATTGATTTTAGAGGGAAGAGAAACATCAATTTGTTCTTCCACTTATTTATGCATTCAGTGGTTAATTCTTGTATCTATCATGACTGGTGATTGAACCCTCAGCTTTATCGTATAGGGACAACACTCTAACCAACTGAGCTATCCAGCCAAGGCCCTGCCTGTTTTTGTTTTATGTATTTTGAGACTTTCTTGTTAGAGGCATATGTG